AACTAAATAAATTCCCCCCCACATTTGAAACATGGGCGTGCAAACCCCTCAAGTGAGAATCCAATCAGATGCCTCACTATTCGCCAAGGAAACCTGTTTTTCCCTTCCGATTTTTCTTACCAGGGTGAAAAGGTACCGAGCCCCAAACAAACACACACACACACACACCCTCTTCTTGGGAAAAAACTCTCTTCTCTCGCCCCCAAAAACCATCGTACTCACATCTCGCCCAAACATACATACATACATACATACATAACATAATATAACATAACATAACATAACATAACATACATACATACATACATTACATACATTACATTACATACATTACATACATACATTACATACATACATTACATACATTACATACATACATACATACATACATTACATTACATTACATTACATTACATTACATTACATTACATTACATTACATACATACATACATACATACATACATTACATACATACATACATACATACATACATACATACATACATACATACATACATACATACATACATACATACATACATACATACATACATACATACATACATACATACATACATACATACATACATACATACATACATACATACATACATACATACATACATACATACATACATACATACATACATACATACATACATACATACATACACATACATACATACATACATACATACATACATACATACATACATACATACATACATACATACATACATACATACATACATACATACATACATACATACATACATACATACATACATACATACATACATACATACATACATACATACATACATACATACATACATACATACATACATACATACATACATACATACATACATACATACATACATACATACATACATACATACATACATACATACATACATACATACATACATACATACATACATACATACATACATACATACATACATACATACATACATACATACATACATACATACATACATACATACATACATACATACATACATACATACATACATACATACATACATACATACATACATACATACATACATACATACATACATACATACATACATACATACATACATACATACATACATACATACATACATACATACATACATACATACATACATACATACATACATACATACATACATACATACATACATACATACATACATACATACATACATACATACATACATACATACATACATACATACATACATACATACATACATACATACATACATACATACATACATACATACATACATACATACATACATACATACATACATACATACATACATACATACATACATACATACATACATACATACATACATACATACATACATACATACATACATACATACATACATACATACATACATTACATACATACATACATACATACATACATACATACATACATACATACATACATACATACATACATACATACATACATACATACATACATACATACATACATACATACATACATACATACATACATACATACATACATACATACATACATACATACATACATACATACATACATACATACATACATACATACATACATACATACATACATACATACATACATACATACATACATACATACATACATACATACATACATACATACATACATACATACATACATACATACATACATACATACATACATACATACATACATACATACATACATACATACATACATACATACATACATACATACATACATACATACATACATACATACATACATACATACATACATTACATACATACATACATACATACATACATACATACATACATACATACATACATACATACATACATACATACATACATACATACATACATACATACATACATACATACATACATACATACATACATACATACATACATACATACATACATACATACATACATACATACATACATACATACATTACATTACATTACATACATTACATTACATACATACATACATACATACATACATACATACATACATACATACATACATACATACATACATACATACATACATACATACATACATACATACATACATACATACATACATACATACATACATACATACATACATACATACATACATACATACATACATACATACATACATACATACATACATACATACATACATACATACATACATACATACATACATACATACATACATACATACATACATACATACATACATACATACATACATACATACATACATACATACATACATACATACATACATACATACATACATACATACATACATACATACATACATACATACATACATACATACATACATACATACATACATACATACATACATACATACATACATACATACATACATACATACATACATACATACATACATACATACATACATACATACATACATACATACATACATACATACATACATACATACATACATACATACATACATACATACATACATACATACATACATACATACATACATACATACATACATACATACATACATACATACATACATACATACATACATACATACATACATACATACATACATTACATACATACATACATACATACATACATACATACATACATACATACATACATACATACATACATACATACATACATACATACATACATACATACATACATACATACATACATACATACATACATACATACATACATACATACATACATACATACATACATACATACATACATACATACATACATACATACATACATACATACATACATACATACATACATACATACATACATACATACATACATACATACATACATACATACATACATACATACATACATACATACATACATACATACATACATACATACATACATACATACATACATACATACATACATACATACATACATAGATACATACATACATACATACAGTACATACATACATACATACATACATACATAGATTACATTACATTACATTACATTACATTACATACATACATACATACAATACATTACATTACATTACATTACATTACATTACATACATACATACATACAATACATGCATACATACATTACATTACATTACATTACATTACATTACATTACATTACATTACATTACATTACATACATACATACGTACCCTTGCGGGGGTAGGCGGCCTGGGGACTGGAACATATATAGATACATACACACATACATGCACTTTCGTGTTGTCTTTGACAGGGATCCTTACATTATACACCTGAACATTGCCTTGTAAATGGTGGTTTTCCCTGTATTTTGGTGGAAAAAGCCATGTTTCGATTGGGCAAAATAAAAATCTTTTAAGGAGCCCTGTTTATACACCTGAACTGGGAAATGGATCCCTTCTTTTCAGGCGCGCCTGAGACTGGGCGATCCGCCGCAAGAGCTCGAGTCTGAGCCCATTGGGATCGAACTCGTCCACCATCGAAGCGGCGGATGGATTGATGGGGTGGCGCGGGGGGGGGGGGGGTGATGAAGGCTAAGGCTTCAGAACTTTGGGTGCTCCCATGGGAGAAAAACCGGTGTAACCATAGCTTCGAGAAGATTGGCTTTTGGATTTCCCTTTCAGCCCCAAGGCTAACCACATCGAAGCCTGAATATTGGTGGGGTGGGCCAGTTGAACGTGACAGGTCTGTGCCCAAATGTGATGGTCCATTTTTAGACATCGTTGCCTGCGACGTGGAATGCAAACATTCAAACAAGAAAGGCCGGCGAAAGCTGAAAAATCCTCCTGATCCCGAGGAAGTTGAAGCATATCAAGTCAGCTTGGCTCTCACAACAAACACCTTATTGCACGTTGTAGCACGCTTCCACTTGCAAATGTCGGAGCTGGCAGTGTGATGGTGCTGAGGCTAGCTCAGGTGTTGGCATCTGCTCCGGCGAGCCAAAGAGAAATGCCTAAAAGGAAAGCTGCGGAACGGCCGACCCTGTGCTTTCTTGACAAAAGCACCTGTGCAGTTTGACCGAGTCTGCGTCGTGGCTTGTCAGCCGGCGTCGTACCCCGAACAACGCAGTAGGCTTGTCAGCCGTTGGGGAAAGAAAAGCAGTCAATTGCGCACTGCAGAATGCTGCGGCCTTGGTATTGCAGCAACCCCACACTTTTAGCACATTGGAATCAGGGGGGTCGCTTGAGTTCCAACTTGATGTAGCCGAGCAAGCCCATGGTGGCGGATTTCAACTGGGCAACTTATACATGTCCAGAAGGCACATATATATATATATATATATATGTATGCACGTATACATATATATATATATATAGGTTTTGTTTGAAAACAAACGCCGCCATCGTCCTTTCTTCGGTCCTCCCTTGTTGACACCCGGATGTTGAGATGCATTCTAAGGCTCAAGGGTCGAATCCCGAAAACGGTTGTCCGAGGCCTGCGGCCCTGGACAGAGCCAGCGACCGGCTCGCAAATGAGTGGCCAGCCAAGAAACGAGTACTGGGCCTTCCTAACAGGGAGCCTGGTCAACGAAGAATGATCAACTCAGGGCTCAGGGCTCAAGTAGGGCTCAGTTCCCGACCAATCTGCATCCAATTCTTTCGGACCAGAGGCCAGTTTGGTCCCTCCCCTTCTCTGTGGGAGGACATTTTCAGCCATCCCCGACCCCTTTGTGGTCTTAGACCTCAACAAGCCTCTGGTCAAAGGTCGACCGTCGTTTGGGTCGAGGACCTATCACCAAGTGGGTGTTTCAAGCATGGCAGAGTGAAGCTAGAACCCCACTGAATGTCACGCTCGCTGCAATGCGCCCCCTTGCGACCTGGCTTTGAATCAGAAATGAGTTTCAAAGGGGAACGCCTTCCTTGGACATAAATCCCGTCCACCGAAAGCTCCACAATTCAAAGTCATGCTCATGTAGCATTGATGCCCAGTCCTGCGAATCTCAAGTCGTCCAGATCGCTTCCTGGCAGTGCGCTTCAAACAGGAGCCAAGAAGCGGGTGCTGCTGAGGGGGTGCAAGTGAATCCAACCGCAGGAATGCGTTGAGCTAAAGGTCCTCCGAGATGTTTCTTGATCCTACAAACAATATGGAGGTTCGAAACGTGTTGGCGAACTGAATGCACAAGGATTCCCAAAGACTGCAAGCAAAGCCCTAAAATATGGAGAACAAATGTGGGTTGATCAATCTTCCGTTCGGCCCCCAAATGACCAAGGCAACCTTTTCCCATGTGGTTGATTTGTTCAACCCCTGCTAACTGCCCGACTTTGGTGAGGCTTCCGCTTGCAACCAGCTTCCCATGGAAGCCAAAGAACGCCCTGACTGTTGGCTTGAAAGGGGAGAACCCCCTGACCGGGCATCTGCGATCTTCGCCAGGATGTTTGTAGGTTGTGTACTCCAAAGAGATGCTTCAATTTGCTGCAGCCACACACAGCACATGTACGTGTCAACAAAATCGAGCTGAATGTCGCGCTATGGGCCGAACATAGCCACATCCCACAATCCTCGGACACATTCGGTCTTTCTAAAATCAAACTGTTTTCCAGATGGACATGGAGCTTTTGTAAGGATCCTCTCTTCCCTCAGGCACCCTTGTGACCCATGATTTTGCCAACATCACATTGGTAGGTTTGCGGGACACCTTTGGAACTTCGTTGCGAAGCAGAAAACATCAAGTGGGCCCATGGTGGGGCCAGTGGCCCAAGGGGCCACCCTGGGTGAGGTCAATACCAATTCGAATGGACAACAAAATCGAGGTGGCGTTGCGGGTTACATATGGAAGCTTGCAGGTCTTGGGAACATGCAGTCCTCAAACACATATAATGTTAGCCGAAAGAACCCGCTGTGAATCGAACGGCATGCCCCGAAATTTGCACAAAATGCAAGAACGACCGTGGATTTCGAGGAAACAACTCTGGCACTGCTTTTTGGTGCTAAAGGGAGACTTTCTCAAAACAGTCAGCGGCCGAAGAGTGAGTTGTCCTCCAGCCCCATACCCGCCTTCGCTTTCGCTCTCGGGGGCCTGGGATGCAATGGGCGTTTAATTTTTTTTGGGACGAAGAAACGAACCTGGATCTGCCAATTAGGCAGTCGAAAATTTGAACGGGGAACCCCTTGACATCATTTAGGTGGGGATTCATGTCCAACGCGACCTCAAGTGTGACACGTGGCCCCTTGGTTTCCTGATCTTTGGATGGGTTGATGGCCTTGTAATGCTTAAGAATTGTTCCTTTCAAAGCGCCATTTACCCTGGTTGTTTTGGCAAAGCAGGAAACATGATCAACTTGCCAACGCAGGACCATTTGCATAGCTCGAAGGGACCTTCAGACCCGGGCAGGGAAGATATCAACAACAAAAATATGGGATGGAATCACATCGGCGCCCATCTGCTAATTGGGTTTGAGTTGGGAACGAGGGGGTTGAAGGAATCTCTGCCCACACCTTCGTTGGCCATGGGGAAAAAGTGGCTTTCCTTTAAAGGGAATCAGCCTCCGGGAAAACGAGAAAAAGCGCACAATGCAACCCACAAGTCTGGGGAAACCTTGTGAAAAACATGGCAAAACCCTTGTGCACGCGGATTTTCAACACGCGGGTGAGCAAAACACACCGTGAAACCGTTTTCGCAGCCGTTTGTTGGGCAAAACCCCGAGGCTGCGGCGAGCTCTCGCCAGCAAAAGCGCGTTGGCCCCCTGTGCCGAGAGTGGGCTTGCACTTAATCCGGGAATGGGCGGCTCTACTTTGATGTCCGTCTTCAACCTCAGAGATGGTTGTGAAAGGACAAGCCTGGGAGACATCAATCAAGGGCCTCCTTTAGTTGTAAGAAGTCAATCAGTACAAATGGACCCCTTTGAAAGTACGAAAGAGTTTCTGTTTATACTTTCAGTTTGTTTTCCCAAAAAGGGCAGCAGGTAGAGCCCGGCCTGGCATTCTGTGATGATTCAACTGCACAACACAAGACTGTGCAAACAACTACATGCTGTAGTAGAAAAAGATGGAAGCAACGCAACACGTAAGCAGGTCTTGCACAGCTGCAAGGTAAGCACGGGTCAACCACTCCTCTGTTGCTTATGCTGCCGGGATTGATCTGAGCCATTGTCAACATTCAGCAGGCGCACCCAATGTGCCAACAAAATGTGCCAAGGACCCAACGCTGACCCCTTGCTTCGTTTCTCGATTTGCGACAAAAGGAGCATGATGGTCAAAGGGGATACCAAAAGGGACAGGGCGTCTCTACAAAGGGACCAGAAATGGTTGGCGCCCCGTTGCTTCATCTTTCCCACACCATCCAAAACAGGTGTTCAGACTGAGGACACACCGTGATGGGTTCGCTTGCCCGCGCAAGCGTGAAAGAATTCTCCACCTCCCTCCCCCCGCCTGTGAAGGCGGCCGGGTTCAAACGCTGCCTACGAGTGGATCACCCGTTGAAAGGGCTCCGAAATCGGATGCTACACGCATTGCAAACGATCGGAACCCGTTCAGGGTCCCCTGACTTATGCGTGGCTCGCTTGACAGAAATCCTTGTCATCTGGCTTTGTAAACAGCAAAGCACCACCGTCCCCGAGCTGAAAGCGTGGTGAGCTGCAAGCTGCACATTAATTAAGACATTGCCACCAGCTGGCTATGTTTATCTATTAAGATGGCTCCCAAAATGGGTGGTTTCCTTCAAACAAACTCTACCAATCTGGCTGCGAAGGAACTTATGTAGCCTTATCATGCCAAACCAAACATGCCTTTTAGCCACTTGAGGGTTTTGGACACTTAGGTCTAATTTTCACATCGCAAACTTGAGGACGCGCCGCCCGTGAGCCTCTCGGGTTGGGCAGTTTGGACCCAATCCCACAGACCCTGCGTCTCTTTTTCGGCGACTTCCGAGGACGGCGCCAAGCTGCTGGCTCAAGGCTAAGACGTAAAGAAGCGAAGGCTTGCAGCATCAATTCACCAACACGTGCGAAGTGCCAGGGGCTTCATTCTTGCTTTTTAACATGAAGAGGCAGTCTTTCAACAAAAAGGACGTCTTTCAGTCTTCTTTTTTAATGATGAAGCAGTCTTTCGGGAAAAACTGACACGTCGGGAATTGTTGAGCTGGCAGTTCAGAGCTGCCACGCTGAGCCACGTTCCCTGAGCCAGGGGAGAACATGGCAGCGCGCCTCCCATGGTGCACGGGGATCCAACCCTAGCGGTCATGTTTCCGCACGCGCCATTGAGAAAATGGCCGGCCTTGGCAATCTCATTGGAAAAGGAAACTCAAGCATGAAGCATGCAGTCGACGGGGCTGTCCCCAAATCAGTCGAAGCTGCAGAAAAGGCGCTCAGAGCGCGCTCTCCGGCTCAGTGCTCGGATCCTGGATCTGGTTTCAAGGTTCCAAGGCAACATGGAAACTATGAGGTTGCACGCACCCTTGATCGTTTGATGTCGGGCATGTCCGGCATTTTTACTTGAGATTTGGAGTCCAACACGTTTTAGCACATGGCAAATCCTATCTGGCAAGGTATGCAGGATAGGTCCGGACGGTCCGGTCCCCATTTTGTCCGGATTCGGGCCACCGGTGGTTTGTTTTTCACATCCCAAAGGAGATTCCTCACAAAGGCTTTTGCAGAGTGAAGACTCTGCGCCATTTGTATAATTCAGACCTGTATCGTGGGTCCCGTCCTCTTACCCCTCTCCGGCTTAACCACAGCGCGAAAGTTTTATGGGGAATCCTCTGAGGGGTGTGTGCGAGAGAATGTGTGTCTGAAAATAGGAATCGGACCCCCCAAAATGCCATGGGCCATGGGGTTTTCCTTTGGCTTCCCTTTTAAGTAACCCCAAAACACGTAATCTCACAAAAGATAGACCCATATGGCCCAGGTCGTTGGAACGTTCTGCAGAACCGCCCACCAAGAACGAGGGCTTGCGCTTTTTCCGGGAGAACAGCTGAGCCAATCTCCCCGCTTGACACACCTTTCAGGCACAAGGTGTAAACAAACACACCTCACCCAGGCTGAGTGAATATGCCTTGGCAGCCTCACCCCCAAAAGTTCGGAAAATGATCAAGCTGCACATCAGTTGACCAATCCTGCCAAAGTGACCCATCAGCGACTCCGAGTGGTGCAAACAAACAGGGTTTACCTCCAATCTCTCATTCTTGTTTGAAAACACTATACTGGGAATTCCCGTTGCAGTCGCTCTATTTGCCGTTACTGTTGGGTGACCCGAAATGGGCTCCAGCAAGTGGTTTCCTTTCGGATGCCACACTAATGTCCTTTGGTGCAAGCTGGAGCCGTTTTGTTAGATCCCGTTGAGGGTCTGACTCATGTGGCTGGAGATGCTGGTGATCATCCACATCCCTAGGATGAGCATCCCTAGAAACTCTTAACATGGAACTTCCTTGCTGTTGACCCCTCTGCAACAAGTGCTTAACTTTTTGTGGGTCCGACGGACAATCCGGCTTTCCAACCGAAACAGTTGCAGTCCAAAGACCTGGTACCAACTGACCACAAAGATGTGGCTCTCCAACTAGTTTGACCGTTGCCCCACTGCCACCCGTGTCAGGTTGGCCCTTGCACCCACTTTGAACGGCCCTGACGCATCCCTTTGGACCCGATCCTTGGCGAAGAACTTGGGGCACTGAGTCCAGTAGACCCGCCGCTGCGGTGCCCTGAGCCCCGCCGCGCTGATGGCAGCCACCTGCCAAAAAACTCGCCCCCCCCTCCCTTGCGGGCGGGTGGCAACCTCCTGGACATGGAGCGCGGATCACCGGCAAGCTGAGCGCGCACTGAACCTCATTGACCTCTGTTAACATAGCCACAAAGCTTAATATAGCCGATGCTATGATTTTTGATGCGCACAGATAGTATACCTGGTCACATGCCATTCAGGATTTTGCCCTTGCTAACCAGCCTGTTGCATTTATCATTCTTGGACCCCTATGAGTTTTTGTGGGGAACTTGGAAGTGA